ACGTATATGCTTTGTCAAGACTTCTTCATCGTAATGAGCGTAAATGATTTGTCGAAACTTCATCGTATATGCTTTGTCAAACATGAACGTAAATGATTTGTCGAAACTTCTTCATCGTAATGAGTGTAAATGTTTTGTCATGATTTCTTCGTTTATGTTTTGTCATGATTTCATCGTATATGCTTTGTCAAGACTTCTTCATCGTAATGAGCGTAAATCAGACAAAAATATATTTTAGGTGAAGAGGTGAGATCTCACCTCTTTTCTCACCTCTTTTCTCACCTCATGAATTTTCATGATTTCTTCTTCGTATATGCTTTGTCAAAACTTCATCGTACATGTTTTGTCATGATTTCTTCGTATATGTTTTGTCATGACTTCTTCGTTTATGTTTTGTCATGACTTCATCGTAAATGTTTTGTCATGACTTCTTCGTTTATGTTTTGTCATGATTTCATCGTATATGTTTTGTCATGATTTCATTGTAAATGATTTGTCAAAACTTCATCGTATATGCTTTGTCATGACTTCTTCGTAAATGTTTTGTCATGATTTCATCGTAATGAGCGTAAATCAGACAAAAATATATTTTAGGTGAAGAGGTGAGATCTCACCTCTTTTCTCACCTCATTGAATTTTCATGACTTCTTCATCGTAATGAGCGTATATGCTTTGTCATGATTTCATCGTAAATGATTTGTCATGATTTCTTCGTTTATGTTTTGTCAAACATGAACGTAAATGATTTGTCATGATTTCATCGTATATGCTTTGTCAAACATGAACGTAAATGATTTGTCAAAACTTCATCGTATATGCTTTGTCATGACTTCTTCGTTTATGTTTTGTCATGATTTCATCGTAAATGATTTGTCATGATTTCTTCGTTTATGTTTTGTCATGACTTCTTCATCGTAATGAGCGTATATGCTTTGTCATGATTTCATCGTAAATGATTTGTCGAAACTTCATCGTATATGCTTTGTCATGACTTCTTCGTAAATGTTTTGTCATGATTTCATCGTATATGTTTTGTCATGATTTCATTGTAAATGATTTGTCAAAACTTCATCGTATATGCTTTGTCATGACTTCTTCGTAAATGTTTTGTCATGATTTCATCGTAATGAGCGTAAATCAGACAAAAATATATTTTAGGTGAAGAGGTGAGATCTCACCTCTTTTCTCACCTCTTTTCTCACCTCATGAATTTTCATGATTTCTTCATCGTATATGCTTTGTCAAACATGAACGTAAATGATTTGTCGAAACTTCATCGTATATGCTTTGTCAAGACTTCTTCATCGTAATGAGCGTAAATCAGACAAAAATATATTTTAGGTGAAGAGGTGAGATCTCACCTCTTTTCTCACCTCATGAATTTTCATGATTTCTTCATCGTATATGCTTTGTCAAACATGAACGTATATGCTTTGTCAAACATGAACGTAAATGTTTCGTCATGATTTCATCGTAATGAGCGTAAATGATCCAAAAATAATGTTTATGTTAGAATGTTAGATCTAACACCTTTTCTAACATGTTTTCTAACATGGAGGATTTCATTAGATATAAATATTATTTGGTGAAAGTATCCTAAAAATATTTGATGGACTTTAACTAAAATAATGTTTAGGGAAGAATGTTTATATCAGATGAAACAGTAAAGTATTATATCTATTAAATCGTCTATGATGTAAATTGTGTATAGAATGAAATGAAGGAAGAATGTGTATATCTAATGAAACAGTAAAGTATTATATCTATTAAATCGTCTATGATGTAATTGTGTATAGAATGAAATGAAGGAAGAATGTTTATATCAGATGAAACAGTAAAGTATTATATCTATTAAATCGTCTATGATGTAAATTGTGTATAGAATGAAATGAAGGAAGAATGTGTATATCTAATGAAACAGTAAAGTATTATATCTATTAAATCGTCTATGATGTAATTGTGTATAGAATGAAATGAAGGAAGAATGTGTATATCTAATGAAATCCTCCATGTTAGAAAACATGTTAGAAAAGGTGTTAGATCTAACATTCTAACATAAACATTATTTTTGGATCATTTACGCTCATTACGATGAAATCATGACGAAACATTTACGTTCATGTTTGACAAAGCATATACGTTCATGTTTGACAAAGCATATACGATGAAGAAATCATGAAAATTCATGAGGTGAGAAAAGAGGTGAGATCTCACCTCTTCACCTAAAATATATTTTTGTCTGATTTACGCTCATTACGATGAAGAAGTCTTGACAAAGCATATACGATGAAGTTTCGACAAATCATTTACGTTCATGTTTGACAAAGCATATACGATGAAGAAATCATGAAAATTCATGAGGTGAGAAAAGAGGTGAGATCTCACCTCTTCACCTAAAATATATTTTTGTCTGATTTACGCTCATTACGATGAAGAAGTCTTGACAAAGCATATACGATGAAGTTTCGACAAATCATTTACGTTCATGTTTGACAAAGCATATACGATGAAGAAATCATGAAAATTCATGAGGTGAGAAAAGAGGTGAGATCTCACCTCTTCACCTAAAATATATTTTTGTCTGATTTACGCTCATTACGATGAAATCATGACAAAACATTTACGAAGAAGTCATGACAAAGCATATACGATGAAGTTTTGACAAATCATTTACAATGAAATCATGACAAAACATATACGATGAAATCATGACAAAACATAAACGAAGAAATCATGACAAATCATTTACGATGAAATCATGACAAAACATAAACGAAGAAGTCATGACAAAGCATATACGATGAAGTTTTGACAAATCATTTACGTTCATGTTTGACAAAGCATATACGATGAAATCATGACAAAACATATACGCTCATTACGATGAAGAAATCATGAAAATTCATGAGGTGAGAAAAGAGGTGAGAAAAGAGGTGAGATCTCACCTCTTCACCTAAAATATATTTTTGTCTGATTTACGCTCATTACGATGAAGAAGTCTTGACAAAGCATATACGATGAAATCATGACAAAACATAAACGAAGAAATCATGACAAAACATTTACACTCATTACGATGAAGAAGTTTCGACAAATCATTTACGTTCATGTTTGACAAAGCATATACGATGAAGAAGTCTTGACAAAGCATATACGATGAAGTTTTGACAAATCATTTACGTTCATGTTTGACAAATCATTTACGATGAAATCATGACAAAGCATATACGCTCATTACGATGAAGAAATCATGAAAATTCAATGAGGTGAGAAAAGAGGTGAGATCTCACCTCTTCACCTAAACATTATTTTTGGGTCATTTACGCTCATTACGATGAAATCATGACAAAACATTTACGAAGAAGTTTGACAAAGCATATACACTCATTACGATGAAGAAATCATGAAAATTCAATGAGGTGAGAAAAGAGGTGAGAAAAGAGGTGAGATCTCACCTCTTCACCTAAACATTATTTTTGGGTCATTTACGCTCATTACGATGAAATCATGACAAAACATTTACGAAGAAGTTTGACAAAGCATATACGAAGAAATCATGAAAATTCAATGAGGTGAGAAAAGAGGTGAGAAAAGAGGTGAGATCTCACCTCTTCACCTAAACATTATTTTTGGGTCATTTACGCTCATTACGATGAAATCATGACAAAACATTTACGAAGAAGTTTGACAAAGCATATACGAAGAAGTCTTGACAAAACATTTACGTAAACATTTATTTCCTGCTGTGTTGTCAAAATGTCATGTTGTCTCATTTTTTCAGAGAAGTTCATTAACCTGGTAGCACATGGTAACATGGTAGCACCTTCAGTTCTTCAAAAATAATTCATAACTGCCTTCCCCTGCTGTGTTGTCAAAATGTCATGTTGTCACACTTTTTCAGAGAAGTTCATTAACCTGGTAGCACATGGTAACATGGTAGCACCTTCAGTTCTTCAAAAATAATTCATAACTGCCTTCCTTCTGTGTTGTTGTCAAACATGAACGTAAACATTATTTTTGGTTCATTTACACTCATTACGATGAAATCTTGACAAATCATTTACGATAAAATCATGAAAATTCAATGAGGTGAGAAAAGAGGTGAGAAAAGAGGTGAGATCTCACCTCTTCACCTAAACATTATTTTTGGGTCATTTACGCTCATTACGATGAAATCATGACAAAACATTTACGAAGAAGTTTGACAAAGCATATACGAAGAAATCATGAAAATTCAATGAGGTGAGAAAAGAGGTGAGAAAAGAGGTGAGATCTCACCTCTTCACCTAAACATTATTTTTGGGTCATTTACGCTCATTACGATGAAATCATGACAAAACATTTACGAAGAAGTTTGACAAAGCATATACGAAGAAGTCTTGACAAAACATTTACGTAAACATTTATTTCCTGCTGTGTTGTCAAAATGTCATGTTGTCTCATTTTTTCAGAGAAGTTCATTAACCTGGTAGCACATGGTAACATGGTAGCACCTTCAGTTCTTCAAAAATAATTCATAACTGCCTTCCCCTGCTGTGTTGTCAAAATGTCATGTTGTCACACTTTTTCAGAGAAGTTCATTAACCTGGTAGCACATGGTAACATGGTAGCACCTTCAGTTCTTCAAAAATAATTCATAACTGCCTTCCCCTGCTGTGTTGTCAAAATGTCATGTTGTCACACTTTTTCAGAGAAGTTCATTAACCTGGTAGCACATGGTAACATGGTAGCACCTTCAGTTCTTCAAAAATAATTCATAACTGCCTTCCTTCTGTGTTGTTGTCAAACATGAACGTAAACATTATTTTTGGTTCATTTACACTCATTACGATGAAATCTTGACAAAGCATATACGAAGAAGTCATGACAAAACATATACGATGAAGTCATGACAAAGCATATATGACGAAGTCATGACAAAACATTTATGTTATACAGTAATGTTAGTCATGAATGTTTGTCCTACGTGTTGGCGTTAGTGTTGAAAAATAATGTTTGTCCTACATGAAGCCGTACAAGCGTTTGAATTTGTTTATGAATAAAATTACACTCTTGTTTTCTGTATCTATCATAGAAACATAAGCAGCACCTGTTTTTGTAAAGTTTATATGAAGTTTTCGATAGTTAAGACCTGTATAATAATAGAATGCGTCCTCATTCTCAACATAGTAGTAGAACTCAAACGAATGCTTACCATAATCTGTTATTTCAACAGCTTCGTCAGATATTTCATCAACGAACTCATAAACTATATCGCCATACTTGCTTTTATTTCTATTGTTTTCAGATCTAGAACACCAACGAAGGTTTGAGATTCTGTTGTCCGTTCTATCATGATTTATATGGTCTATTTCTTTCAAATTGTTTGGATTTTCAATCCACTGTTCTGCAATAATTCTATGCTTTAAGTACATTTTGTTGTTTAAACTAAGCACAATATAACCATAATTATTTAAGCATTCACTCATAATATGTTTGTCTTTCTTTCGACGAATAGTAAAAGGATATGTCGTACAAATCTCATAATCTTCATGATTTCTCAATGTTTCCCATTGAGTTTGTTCCCCACTAACGTTCTCATTGACGTCCTCAATATCTTCTTCCTCACTGAACTCGTCAATATTTTCACTAGCTCCTTCTGTAATGTTTTCATCGGCATTGTCATTGACTTCTTCTGTAATGTTAGATGTTGTTGTTTCGCTCATGTTCTTTCACTAATGTTAAAAAGTTATGTTGTACGAATTTTGAACAGAATTTAGAGCAGTTATGAAACAATGAAGTACTTTTACGCTATTGAAAGGAACTATGAGAGTGAAGTACATGACAGCAATGACAAAAGGAACTAATATCAAACCTAATGAAATCGCTCACGAGGACATAGAGCTTAACAAGTACTTTGTGGAGTATCTTATAAGTGAAGAGTATGTAAGACCTTACTTCATGTTTGATAGCATGAATGAGGATGTTATTTCATGGTTAAAGAATATAAGCAATGTTTTCGGTAAGTACGTCATAGATGACAAAGGTCTTGTTGTATTTTATGAGACAGCAATACGAACACAGGAACTAATGGATATTATGCACTCAACAGCAAAGAAAGGATTTAGTACTATTGGCATGAATGAACATTGCAGGAATGACATATACAACCTATGCTCACGAAAGCCTTACACAAAAGCAATACAAATGATAGAACATAAGTGTCTAAGGTCAGCAAATGAAATCATTACTGTCAGTGGTTATGAAAGAACTGTTAGCAAAGATGAGTGGAAACAGCTATTCATATTAAGGAAGGACGTTGCTGAACTAGTTAAACCTGTTGCACAAACATTGTTTCAGATAAGACCAGCAATGACTAAGAACCCTTTGACCTTAGTCAATGAGACCATAGAGGTTGAAGATAATGACATGAAAGAACTAGGAATGAATGAGAGAAGTGAAGGATGTTTGAGTCAAAACACATGGTTCTTCAGAGCTGTTAAGAAACTTAGTAAAGAACGACAGAAATATTTTATAGAGAAGTATTGCAAAGGATGTGTAAATGAATTGTTTGAAATAGAACTTAGAGACACTTTCACACTAAAGGACTTGAGGAAAAATAAGTACATGAGTGAGGACGGTATTGACATAGCTAGTGTTATAAATGACTTAAGAAGATGTGTTGTTGTTATTGACGGAGCACGTATGACATATCTAGTGAAAGATTATGATGGAATACGAGACACAACAACACTTGTGTCAGTAGATAGCAAGGAATTCAATAAGCTCATGAAGAGTATTTATGTAGGACGTATTGAGGAGAAGGATGTGAACGCACTGATGATTTATGAAGCGGGTCAGAACAAGAACTATCTTATGAAGTCAGGCATGAGATTCTTTGACGAAAGAGATGACATTTACAGCTATTTCAGAGGATATGAGTATGAGGTACTGAATGAAGTAGATGAGAACGTTATTGAAGGATATTTGAAACATGTTCACGATGTCATATGTAATGAGGATGAAGAGCTTTATGAGTATGTTTTGAACTGGTTCGCCTACATCGTTCAAAATCCTTGTGGAAAGACTGGAACAGTACTTTTGTTAATAGGAAAGCAAGGAACTGGTAAGAATGTACTTAGTAATGTTCTATGCGAGCTCATTAGCAAGTACGCCAACAATAATATAACGGCAATAGAGAATGTGGTTGGTAGATTCAATGCTGCTATTGAGAACATGAAGCTCATCGTATGCAATGAACTAAGCTCATGCGATACGTCTAAGGTCATGAACCACGACGCACTAAAGTCAATAGTAACAGAGACTCAGTTGGACTTAAATCAGAAGTGTCAGCCAGTAAGAAAGATAGAGAATGTTTGTAATATCATCATGATATCTAACAACTTCAACTCAGTAAAGATTGACAAAGACGACAGAAGATTTGTTGTCATTGACGTAAGCAGCAGATACAAAAGAAATTACGAATATTTCTCAAATCTCATTGAAAGCTTTAATGAAGAGTTTTATTCAAACTTACTGACGTACTTCATGAGGAAAGATTTAAGTGAATTTGATGTAAGGAAGATACCATTCACCAGGGCTAAACAAGAACTCATCGAAATGAACAAAACACCTTACCAAATGTTTTACGAGGAGTTCTATGAAAAGTTTGTATCCGGATGGAATTGTACAGAGTGCTACAGAAGATATAAAGAGTTTGCGAAGGAGAATGAATTCTTTGCATGTAGTTCAAATGTATTTGGTGGCAAGATGAGAGAATTTGTGAAGAGAAGTAGAAAGCGAGACGGTTCTGCAAGAAGTTATATTTACGAAGCAAGTATGATATTAGAAGGTCGTGGAAAGAAAGAAACAGTGAATTATGAGGAAGTGCTTGAAAAATTCATGGAGTACATGGGAAGCAATATAACATACAACAAAGACATATACAGTGAGTTTAAGTACTACTGTGAACAGCATGAGATTGAAGTAATGAGTAAAGGAGACTTTGAAACGCTTATGAAAGACAGTAAGGAGGTCGTTCATGCAATAATGAAATAGTTCATGAGAACAGTGAGGAGGTCATACATGCAATAATGAAATAGTTCATGAGAACAGTAAGGAGGTCGTTCATGCAATAATGAAATAGTTCATGAGAACAGTAAGGAGGTCGTTCATGCAATAATGAAATAGTTCATGAATGCAATGATGAAATAGTTCATGAGAACAGTAAGGAGGTCGTTCATGCAATAATGAAATAGTTCATGAGAACAGTGAGGAGGTCATACATGCAATAATGAAATAGTTCATGAGAACAGTAAGGAGGTCGTTCATGCAATAATGAAATAGTTCATGAGAACAGTGAGGAGGTCATACATGAATGCAATGATGAAATAGTTCATGAGAACAGTGAGGAGGTCATACATGCAATAATGAAATAGTTCATGATGTCGTTCGTGAAGAAGCCATTGCAACAAAGAATGAGATAAAGGATTTCATAGAACTTAACAAGGAGGAGTTTAAAGAAGGCTATGAAGTGAAAAGATGTGAAGAAGATTTCTTGGCGTATTTGAAGAAAAAGAGACTAAAGCCAATGGCTCAAAATAAGTTTCAATCGATGTTTGAAAAGAAACGTTTGAGCTATGGTGGTGTAAGAAGCACATATTACTTTGTTAAGAAGTGAGGACATTTATTTTTGTTGTTAGTGAGAGAATAAATTAAATCATGAACTTTGCCATGGTCTCTGTCCCTAGTAGTTTTCATTAAGTTCTGGAAATAATGAAAGTCATAAACTTTGCCATGGTCTCTGTCCATAGTAGTTTTCATTATCTCACAGAGTTAATGAAAGTCATACTTTCTATCAGATGAAGCATGCAGATGAACATAACGAAAGTTAGTGAGTTTGCCACGAGTTATGAATAAAATATTGGCATATTAGATGAGATAGCTGATGAAACAAATGAAGATAAATTAAATCTTGGACTTTGCCACACTCTGTCCCTAGTTCCTCAAAATCCTTGACAACGTTGCTTAGAAATTTTGGTTCAAAACCTCATCTGATTTTAATCTGTTATGCTACCTGTTAAGTTTCGCGAGATTATAAATGTCATGGAGTTATATAAAAAGGAGGGACAGCTAGGGACACTGGAAGTACTTGTAAGGCTATCTGTTAAGATTGCATGAAATACTAAAAAGTCATGAAATCCATTATCGTTGTGCTAGCTTCACCTTAGAGTAAAATGACGACTAAAGTCACTGAAGCAATTAAACAAAAGTTTTTGGTAGAATACCTTAAATCAGGAACTATTCCAGAAGGTTTTTACATTCATACTATGAAAGATGGTAGAGTTCAGTTTAGAAAGATAAAGCAACCATTAGATAAAGAAGGAATTTTGAGAAAGATTAAACTTCATGAGGACAACATTGCTAAACTTAGGAAGAAGTTAGAAGAGTTGGATAAAGGAAGAGAGTTATAAAGCAATGAATTCAACAGGGTGAAAAAACAGGTGAAAAAAGAGGTGAGATCTCACCACTTCACCTAAATCTATTTTTGTGCTATGTTTTCATACGTGTGAGGGTGGTGATATCATTAATTTTTAAGTTTATTTTTTATTTTATTTTTATTTTATTTTTATATAAATGACGAAAACTATTGAGATAACAAACTACAACGGTCATGAGTTCAAGAATTTGTTCTTCGTTCCTCGTGAAAATACATTCTATCAGATACGAGGGAGAAAGGGTAAAGTTAGTTTGAGCGTTTATGAAGGAATGAAGAATGGAAAGTTTATACAAGCATACGATACAAACGGTAAGCGTGTTTCATTAGCTTTGTCAAAACTTACTAACATTCATTTTGACAGTGACTTTGACTCTGACGATTGGAGCGACAGCAGCGATACTGAAGAATATGAACTATTGTGTGAAGCACAGCAATGGGAAGAGTTGCAATACTTTTGTAAGTGAGAACGTTTATTTTTTACAGTAGTGAGGTGAAGTGGTTGGCGGCTTTATAAATATTTAAGGTTAAGTTGGTGTTTGTGTTTGTGTTGTAAAATAAACGTTAACGGTTTTGTAAAGTGTCAAACCGTTATCTTGGACAAGGTGGAACGCAGTGCCGCCGTACCCAAGATAGGTATACTAACTAACATTGCTGAACTTAAGAAGAAGCTAGAAGAGTTGGAGAAAGGAAGAGAGTTATAAAGCAATGAATTCAACAGGGTGAAAAAACAGGTGAAAAAAGAGGTGAGATCTCACCACTTCACCTAAATTTATTTTTGTGCTATGTTTTCATACGTGTGAGGGTGGTGATATCATTAATTTTTAAGTTTATTTTTTATTTTATTTTTATTTTATTTTTATATAAATGACGAAAACTATTGAGATAACAAACTACAACGGTCATGAGTTCAAGAATTTGTTCTTCGTTCCTCGTGAAAATACATTCTATCAGATACGAGGGAGAAAGGGTAAAGTTAGTTTGAGCGTTTATGAAGGAATGAAGAATGGAAAGTTTATACAAGCATACGATACAAACGGTAAGCGTGTTTCATTAGCTTTGTCAAAACTTACTAACATTCATTTTGACAGTGACTTTGACTCTGACGATTGGAGCGACAGCAGCGATACTGAAGAATATGAACTATTGTGTGAAGCACAGCAATGGGAAGAGTTGCAATACTTTTGTAAGTGAGAACGTTTATTTTTTACAGTAGTGAGGTGAAGTGGTTGGCGGCTTTATAAATATTTAAGGTTAAGTTGGTGTTTGTGTTTGTGTTGTAAAATAAACGTTAACGGTTTTGTAAAGTGTCAAACCGTTATCTTGGACAAGGTGGAACGCAGTGCCGCCGTACCCAAAATAGGTATACTAACTAACATTGCTGAACTTAAGAAGAAGCTAGAAGAGTTGGAGAAAGGAAGAGAGTTATAAAGCAATGAATTCAACAGGGTGAAAAAACAGGTGAAAAAAGAGGTGAGATCTCACCACTTCACCTAAATCTATTTTTGTGCTATGTTTTCATACGTGTGAGGGTGGTGATATCATTAATTTTTAAGTTTATTTTTTATTTTATTTTTATTTTATTTTTATATAAATGACGAAAACTATTGAGATAACAAACTACAACGGTCATGAGTTCAAGAATTTGTTCTTCGTTCCTCGTGAAAATACATTCTATCAGATACGAGGGAGAAAGGGTAAAGTTAGTTTGAGCGTTTATGAAGGAATGAAGAATGGAAAGTTTATACAAGCATACGATACAAACGGTAAGCGTGTTTCATTAGCTTTGTCAAAACTTACTAACATTCATTTTGACAGTGACTTTGACTCTGACGATTGGAGCGACAGCAGCGATACTGAAGAATATGAACTATTGTGTGAAGCACAGCAATGGGAAGAGTTGCAATACTTTTGTAAGTGAGAACGTTTATTTTTTACAGTAGTGAGGTGAAGTGGTTGGCGGCTTTATAAATATTTAAGGTTAAGTTGGTGTTTGTGTTTGTGTTGTAAAATAAACGTTAACGGTTTTGTAAAGTGTCAAACCGTTATCTTGGACAAGGTGGAACGCAGTGCCGCCGTACCCAAGATAGGTATACTAACTAACATTGCTGAACTTAAGAAGAAGCTAGAAGAGTTGGAGAAAGGAAGAGAGTTATAAAGCAATGAATTCAACAGGGTGAAAAAACAGGTGAAAAAAGAGGTGAGATCTCACCACTTCACCTAAATCTATTTTTGTGCTATGTTTTCATACGTGTGAGGGTGGTGATATCATTAATTTTTAAGTTTATTTTTTATTTTATTTTTATTTTATTTTTATATAAATGACGAAAACTATTGAGATAACAAACTACAACGGTCATGAGTTCAAGAATTTGTTCTTCGTTCCTCGTGAAAATACATTCTATCAGATACGAGGGAGAAAGGGTAAAGTTAGTTTGAGCGTTTATGAAGGAATGAAGAATGGAAAGTTTATACAAGCATACGATACAAACGGTAAGCGTGTTTCATTAGCTTTGTCAAAACTTACTAACATTCATTTTGACAGTGACTTTGACTCTGACGATTGGAGCGACAGCAGCGATACTGAAGAATATGAACTATTGTGTGAAGCACAGCAATGGGAAGAGTTGCAATACTTTTGTAAGTGAGAACGTTTATTTTTTACAGTAGTGAGGTGAAGTGGTTGGCGGCTTTATAAATATTTAAGGTTAAGTTGGTGTTTGTGTTTGTGTTGTAAAATAAACGTTAACGGTTTTGTAAAGTGTCAAACCGTTATCTTGGACAAGGTGGAACGCAGTGCCGCCGTACCCAAGATAGGTATACTAACTAACATTGCTGAACTTAAGAAGAAGCTAGAAGAGTTGGAGAAAGGAAGAGAGTTATAAAGCAATGAATTCAACAGGGTGAAAAAACAGGTGAAAAAAGAGGTGAGATCTCACCACTTCACCTAAATTTATTTTTGTGCTATGTTTTCATACGTGTGAGGGTGGTGATATCATTAATTTTTAAATAAATGTGGGAACAAAAATAAAGCATATCTACTCAACAGGAATGAGATCCTTACTGACTATGTATTCGTTTAATGCTTGATGAAAACAATGGTACATATTATCGTATGGGTATACACAACGTCTGTTTCCATCGTCGTCGTATATGTAGAGCTCAAATCCAGTCCAACCTTCTTTTGTACAATATGTAGCTTTATTTAAGTATGCATTTATGTAGATAAGGCAATTTTCTTCATCGCTCCAGAAATAATTTTTCGTCTTTGTTGAAATAGTTTTCGTTCCTCTGCGACCATAAGGAATGTATGCAATGAATTTTGCGTCATATGGGATTGTAATATATTCAGGGTTTCTTTCATCGTCAATGGGTCTGTCTTTGTTAAAATGCATGTTTCTCAGTTTTACTTGAGTTTTGAATAGTTCACGGAAACGTTCTGGGAAAGAGTCATAGTAAATGTAGTCGGACATGTCTTTGTAATGAAATAAAAAAGTTGGAAAATAAATAAAATAAGGTTATTTTTTATTTAGTGAAGTCGTTAGTGAAGTCGTTAGTGAAG